CCCAAAGTAGTAGCATTACAGGCATGAGCCACTGCGCCTGGGCAAAAAATAATCACTTTCCTAGCAGCAAAAGGAGAAAAGAGCACATCAATTCCACGGCAACTGAAGGGGCTACTTGCCATGCAAAGCTGTTGGCTCATTCAAAGTCAAAGGTGCTGGCTGGATCAGCGCCTCTGTGTATCCCTACAGTGTCCATGACCGTTTTGTTCACGGCCCACGTGGTGTGCTGCAACAGAGTCAGGGGGCAGGTGCACTCTGGTCTGCTGTGCAGGTGGAGCAGGGAGACTGTGACCTGCCCAGGATCACTGTGGCTCCGGAGTGGAGCCAAGGCCAAAGCTCAGGGTTCACCTCCCCCATCTGCTGTTGCAGCTAACGCTGTGCCGCTGCAAACTCTCCTGTTTGTCCAAGGCCACCAAGGAAAGGTCTATTGTGGATTTAGCTGCTCTGAGTCTCTGCTAAAAGGAGCAGCTGATGAATTCACCCTTCCTTTTTACTTCGGCATCTTCACTGCGTGTTTCAAATCATGAGAGCCTGATAGGCTGACTTTTGTTTGGCAAATGTGCCTTTTTCTGTTGTTGTTATTAACACAGTCATTCTCTGTTGCCCAGGCTGGAGTGCAGTGGCGTGATCTCGACTCACTGCAACCTCCACCTCCTGGGTTCAAGCGATTCTCCTGCCTCAGCCACCCAACTAGTGAGATTACAGGTGCTCGCCACCATGCCTGGCTAATTTTTGTGTTATTAGTAAAGATGGGGTTTCACTATGTTGGCCAGGGTGGTCTTGAACTCCTGACTTCAGGTGATCCACCGACCTCAGCCTCTCAAAGCACTGGGATTACAGGCACGAGCCACTACACCCAGCCTTTTTAAATGTTTTAATCTACTGCTTATATGGTGTTCTTATACCTTTTTAAAAAGTGATGAAGCTTATAATAATGGGTGAGGATTACTGCTACAGGAGCAACTTTTAAAAGGATTATCTTGTGATTTGGCATGCACAGAAAATGAAGGGGAAAGGTAAACATCTGGCTTTCACAGGTATGAACTCAGAAAATCAAGTCAATTTATGTCCTCACCTTAGAAGCAATGGAAGCAAAGGGAAGTTTAGAGCGCTTTTTAGAGGCAGATAATATTATGAGGTCAAAATGGAATGATAAATGGAAAAATTACCCAAACAATGGTTTATTCTAGAATAATACTTTGTTGTGGAGGATGTGATCCTCCCAGACAACACAGGTGGGACATGTGTTCATAATTAGTCCTGTTTTTCCCTCTGCAATTTTTTTGTCGACAGGGTCTCACTCTGTAGCCCAAGCTGGAGTGCAGCAGCATGATCATAGCTCACTGCAGCCTCGAACTCCTGGCCTAAAATGATCCTCTCACCTCAGCCTCCCAAGTAGCTAGGATTACATGCATGCTCCACCACAGCAAGCTAAATCTTTGTTTGTTTTTCATTAACTTTTATTTTAAGTTCTGGGGTACATATGCAGGGTCTGCAGGTTTGTTATATAGGTAAATGTTTGGCATGGTGGTTTGCTGCACAAATCAAGTCATCACCTAGGTACAAGCCAAGCATTCATTAGCTATTCTCCGCCCCTCCGCCCCTTGTTCCCTTGACAGATCCCAGAGCGTGCTGTTTGCCTCCATGTATCGATGTGTTCTCATCATTCAGTTCCCACTGGCCAAATTGTGGAGAAAAAGGAATGCTTTTATATTGTTGATAGGAATGTCAATTAGTTCAACCATGTGGAAGACAGTGTGGCAATTCCTCAAAGATCTAGAAGCAGAAATACCATTTGACCCAGCAATCCCATTACTGGGTATATACCCCCAAAATATAAATCATTCTATTATAAAGATACATGAATGTGTATGTCCTTTTTGTTTTTTCTTTTAAGAGATAGAGCCTCATTTTGTTGTCTAGGCTGGTCTTGAACACCTGATCTCAAGCAATCGTCCTCCGTTGGCCTCCCAAAGTGTTGGGGTTACAGGCATGAGCCACTGAGACCAGTCTTCCTCTACAATTTCTAACTTAGTGCTGTGTCCCATAGTAAGATAGTGGACATTATGATCACCTATTTGTATTTATATGTTGCTGACCCACACAGAAGTTTCAGAAAAAAAGCTTAGCCTTTCTCTGCAATGCATTCTGATAGTTAACATTTTTTGTACCATTAAAACAATCCTGTAATTCAGCACTTTGGGAGGCTGAGGCAGGCAGAACACCTGAGGTCAAAAGTTCAAGACCAGCCTGGTCAACATGGCGAAACCCTGTTACTACTAAAAACACACAAATCAGCTGGGCATGGTGGGTCCCAGCTACTCCGGAGGCTGAGGCAGGAGAATCACTTGAACCCAGGAAGCAGAGGTTGCAGTGAGCCGAGATTGCACCACTGCACACCAGCCTGGGCGACAGAGTAAGACTCCATTTCAGAATAATAATAATCATCATCATCATCATCCTGTTTGCAACCCCATACTAATTTCCTTGACACAATAATATGAAAATCACTATTTAAAAATAAACTGAAATTGGATTTTTTTTTTTTTTTTTTTGAGACTGGGTCTCACTCTCGCCCCGGCTGGAGTGAAGTGGTGCAATCACGGTTCATTGCCACCTTGATCTCCTGGCCTCAAGTGACACTCCTGCCTCAGCCTCCCAAAGCACTGGGCACCATGCTCGGTTTATCATGTAAATTTTAAGGATATAGCCAGGCTCTCTCAGCAGAGCATAGGAGGAAAGATAGCTGAGCTTGGAATTAGGAAAACTGAGGCCAAGTCTAGGCTCTGACGTTTGTTAAAGGTGAAAACCAGCACAAATCTCACTACCTCTAGCCCTCCATCTCCCCATCTGTCCAGTGACAGCCATACCACCTCTCTATGCCTCACAGAATGCTCGAAGAAAAATTAAATCATTTTCCAAATGTAAAAATTATTTTAAAAGATTGCATAAGTAATTCAATTATCATAGTCCTGGTCATAAATGGCAAAGCACTTGCAGAGTTGAGGATCTTTCTGCCCTTAAGGGATGAAGCTAGGAAGTGAGATGAAGTACTCAGGAAAAGCAGACAGCGTTTACATTTGTTCCCAGTGGTGAGGCGTGACTCACACACTTCCTTCTGTAAGATTGCCTTCCCTAACTTCTGGATTCTTGCCTGTACCTGACACTTCTCTCTTTCCACACTTATCCTTCTTCAAGTAGGCTATAGTTCCTTGTTTATTCAATTCATTCAGCATCTTCCTTGAACGCTATGTATCAGGTGCTATGCTAGGCACTTAAGACAAAGCAGTGAAGCAGGCCACCTGCTCTGCCCTCCTGGGCTTGTGCTTTAATAGGGCGTGTACTATGTAAATTTTTTTCTGCTCGACCTTCACGACTAAATCGATTTGGACAGCAGTATTAGAACCATAGAAACAAAGAGATAGATAACCCAGCAGGCTTTTAGCAGCCTGGGGATCAACATGGCATAATCCTAGGTCTCAGATGCATGGAGAAGATGATGACCTGGATGTAGTGAACAAATCCATGGTCAGCAAAGATGGAGAGGATACTCTGGATGTAGAGCCAGCAGATGCCACCCCAGCAAGACCACTCTTCAGAATATGACCAAGCCTCAGTCATTTCCCATCCAGGACAGCCATCCTAGAAGATGGTTAACAACAAAGAAATCGCCAGCAAACTTAGCGGCATTCCAGGAAGAAGAAAAAGCCCTGTTTTCTGGGCTGAGGGAGCAGGTGAACAGTCACTCTAATTTGCCTTTGGCAAAATTTTCACATCGTCGGCATTACTCACGATTGCAGTAATCCTGGTTTCAAAATCTGATTACTCTTACCTCTCTGCTGCTTGATCAAGGGCTTTGTTGACATAAACAGCATTTACCCTGTAAAACTTAACAGAGGAATTATGCAGCTGTCTGGGGTCACCTTGGGAAAGAGTAGGGGGAGTGGCAAGCCGCAATGATGTCACCCAGTAGGTCCTTCCTACCTTCCAACCCCTTCTTACCTTTCCCACCCACTGGATTCCTGGAATTCCACCCAGGTGACTTGCTATTCTGAAATGAGAATGCTTTTCCCACTCTCTGCTTTCAAACTGTAATTGACCCTAAAAGCTCTATTTATGAAACCATAATCTTTAGTATGAATGTGTTTATAAATACACATGTTTTCCCTCACTGTGGTTGTCATTAGGTTAATGCCAGCAGCTGAGGGGCCTACAGAATGAGGGATAGTGGAGTGGGTAAAAGGTTCCTGATGGGAGTAAAGAGACCTGGATTCAGATCTTGATCATCTGGTTTGAAGCCAGTGTTTGCGTATCTTGGCTCTTCCATATGCTCCTCTGAGAATGTGGGGAAATATCTGTTTTACAATTATTATGTAGATTTAAGGAGATAGTATGAAGAAAAGCATCATACAGCAAATTAGTTTTCTTCCTATAAATTATCTGAGAGAAATTAACCACATGCAGGACCCTCAAAAACCTCTAAGAGTTACAACAAGGTAAAGCTTGAGCTGAAATGTGGAGGAATTAGTGAATTTTCCATGCACATGATAATTCACATAAGAAGGCAAGATGTTTTCAAATATAGCCACCATCAAATGGTTGTTGGGTTTGTTTTTTGTTTATTGTTCCTGTGCAGTGATAAATGAGATCCTCTATTGAGCTTTATTTCTAAAGCTTGAATTTCAAGCCATTTCCTCACTTGAGGTCAGGAGTTCAAGACCAGCCTGGCCAACATAGTGAAACCCCATCTCTACTAAAAATAAAAAATTATCAGGCTTGGTGGTGGGCACCTGTAATCCCAGCTACTTGGGAGGCTGAGGCAGGAGAATCGCTTGAGCCCGGGAAGTGGAGGTTGCAGTGAGCCGAGATCGCACCACTGCACTCCAGCTTGGACAACAGAGTGAGACTTTGTTTAACAACAACAGTTAGCTTTTCATCGCATGGGAGATGCTAAAAAGAATAAACATCACTTAATTTTCTCTTTGTTTCCATTTGATCAGCCATGGATTGTTATAAAACTTCACCAAGCAATTCATGGATTTACCCCACTGTGATCCTCTGCGTATTTGGTTTTTTCTCCATGATGAGACCCTCAGAACCATTTCTTATCCCATATTTATCTGGACCAGATAAAAACCTGACCAGTGCAGAGGTAAGTTAACATATATACATATCTTAATGTGTGTGTGTGTGTTTTAATTTTATAGGACTTGAACAAGGATACAGGGCTTCACTCAACTTGAAATAAGATGAATACATTGAGCTTAATGAGCCTGATTTTTATAATATTTGTCATATAATAGAACTTTTCAAACTATTTCCCCTTCATACTTGCAAAAAATTGCAGCCAAAACACATTACATGTGCTATCAGATTTTTAATTTGCATAGAGTTCTAACATTTGTGTTAATGATAAGAACCTTTCAGGTTTCCATTGATTCTATGATACTAATTCTAAAACAGCATCACTGTCAGGCACAGGATTTAGATCTAAATAAACTCACAGGCTGCTAATAAACAGGATCTCATAAAGAACTGTGGTATTTCTTTATGACACCATTGACCAGTAGCAGGTGAGCCATTAACAGCTTTATCTCCCAGCCCCTGCCTCCTTCTCCGGAATGCCAGATTCTCTTACTTAAAAAATCAATGTCTTTCTTTTTTCTTTTTCTTTCTTTCTTTTTTTTTTTTTTTTTTTTTTTTT